TAGGAAAAGGGATTGGGGTGTGATCACATTTCACTGGGGTTACTTTCTCTCTTTCTCTGGCAAGCACACATGCCTTCTGACAATTAAAAAAAAATCTTAGTTTATAAAAGATCATTTTATATTTATTTGCTTAGTTAGGTTCATGCTTAGTTTTTTAAATTTTATAAGCGAAAGATGAATGGTTGAAGAAATTAAGAGTAGCTTTATGGGGACCAGCAGATGGAGTAATGGTTACATCGCTGGACTCCCATATAATCGACTGCAGTTCGAGTCCCGGACCCAGCAACTTAAAACGCACGTAACAACTGCCCAGAGGAGAAGGGATTGTGGTGTGGCCATCCCTTCTGGATGGTGATTTCTCACTTTCTGTCTCTGCCTATCTCTGTCTCTCCAGCAAGCACACGTGCCCTATAGCAAAAATCTCAAAAAAAAAGAAAAAAAGTAGCGTTATGGTTACTCTTAGGATCAAGTTTCTATTCATGTACATTTTTACAGGATCGAAACTAGAAACATTGACATCTGGAACATTTGCAGGTTTTTCTATATTTCAATAGAATTTTCAAACATGAAAACAGTTGAGAGAATTGTAGAGTAGACAGCCATGTGCCCACCACCCAAAGTGTACAGTGAGCATTTCAATGAGAGTCATGGTTCACTTAAGCATGAGAGGGTGTTCTGAGGCTGCATGCCTGGGCAACTTCATCGTTGAGCAGACATGACGGAGTGCACGTGCACAGTCCAGTTCTAGGTGGTATAAACTACTTGCACGCCTAGGCTGTCCACTACAATCTTATGGAACCACTGTCTTAGCAGCAGCAGACTGACGGCATTGCTTTAGCTCCTACAGCAGTCCTTGTTCATCTCATTTTGCTTTCTGAGGTCTCAGTTACCTGCAGCCAACTGCAATCCAAAATTAAGTGAGTCAAGTACAATAAGATATTTTCGGATATCACTTTCCCAAAGCTTTTATGACCACATATTGTCATTCTTGTTCTATTTTGTTATTGTTAATCTCTTACTATGCCTAATTTATAAATGTTTGTATAGGAAAAAAATTGCCTACATAGGGTTTAGTATCATCTGTGATTTCAGGCCTCCAGTCAGGGAGGGGAGACTTAGAATTTATCTTCTGTAGTTAAGGGGGGCTACTCTATTAATCCATCGAGTGATAATATCTCTGGTCACTCATCAGTCCATCTTGTTTATATTTTTTCAGTAAGTTACAGATTTCATTGCCCCTAAAAACTTCAGTATGTGTATCATTAACTAGAATTCAAGATTTTTTTTAAATTTATTTTTTAATTTTAATTTTTTTAGAAGTTAAGGATGGCAACTTTTTTCTTTTTGATAATTGCTGTATGTTTTCTAAGTGATGTTATAAAACAGGTTAAGGCTATGAAACTTTCTTGGCAAATAGCTCACTAACTTGGATAATGTTTGTTCTCAGAAAATTAAAAGCCAAATCGTATGTAACTATTGCTTTATTTTATTTAGCCCTAACCTTTGAAGAATTGTAAATCTCTAGAAGCTATGTAAGAATTTTGAGTGATGAGTAGAAATATAGAGCTAATAAATATCATTTTGAAGGAAAAATTACAGGGATTATAATGGCTTGGGCTCTTGGTTGAATTCTCACAAGAAGTCAGAGTTTGTTTACTCAGTGATCTGTCATCTGTGGAATTTAAAATATCATTAACTTTTTAAAACTTTTCTTTAGGGGGAGGCAAAGCTCACTGAGCCCTGAGCACACCTACCTAATTTTCATTTAATTATAGGCATGCTTACACCATATGTTCAGTCAAGCTGTTCAATTTTAATAGGAAAAGAATATAGTTTATTTTAAAAATTAATAGATATCAAAGTGACCACCAAAACTGTCTTAATGTAGCAAACTGAACCACATCCGTGATGGTGACAGGAAGCCTGAAATTGGAAAATGCCAAACCCCAGATCTGGATCTATCATTCTTAACTCATATGTCTATTCTTGAAATGACCTTAGGTCTTCTGCTGTGGCCTGTTTTGGAGGCTCCCAAATCCTTTCTCTGTGCTTTTTGGGGAGTACAAGGATTTGAACATTTCCAAAAGGCAGCCATTTAAATCTGACAGAGGCTGATTTTCCTCCCCAGATTAAAGATGTCGGTGTTGCAGAGCCAGGTGACCCGATGGTACAGGGCTCGGATTCGGGGAGTTGTAGAGTATCTGCAGAGTGCTGGTTGTGGTTAAGAGCAGGGTTTTGTTAAAGGCTATACTAGGAAGTGGGAGTGGAGACCAGAACTACGTTGTAAAAGACTCTGCTGCCTTTTGAATAAATTCTATTTCAATGGCAAGTCTTAATACCATTTATGTAATTTCATCAGAGATGAAATAACAGGAAAATTAGTTCTTTTTTAATAAGTTTTTTTTTTTTTTTGTTTATTTGGTTTTGCTGTAGAGTACATGTGCCTTCTGGAGAGAGACAGCGAGAGAGAGATGGAAAGAGAGAATGGCCACATCTCAGTCCCTTCTTCATTCTCCTGTCGGGATCCTGGGCACACACACTCACACACCTAGTGTGATTCTCACGTACTAGGCCTGGGACTCAGATTGCAGTCAGTCATGTGGGATCCAGCACCTCAACTTCCATGCCACTTGCTGACCCATTTTTTAAAAGAAATTAAAAAATTAATTTGTTTTATTCATGATCAAAAGCAAATGTACATACGAGAGAGAGAGAGAGAGAGACCCTCTGCAAGATCTCGTCTTGTCGTATTCTTTCCTCAGCCCTCCAGCTCTTTATGATTTTGGACACCTGTGCATGTACCTGGCATGTTTTCAGGCCCATGGAAATCTGAACCTGGGGGTGGCTGTGTGGCTTCCAGCACTGTGGTTTCATTTGCTGCTGACTATGCCACCAGGGCCAGAAAATGACTTCTTAGAGCAATAAATAAATACTTTAGTTCTGGTGTGTTAAAATTGCCGTAGTTCATTTAATTGGAAGGTTAAGCACTTTTGAGCCCGCTGTGATTGGACGCCATAGTGAAGTCGGCTTTAAGTGACCTTATTCTTTACACTTAGACATGTGTCTCCCACAAAATCGGAGACTTGCCTGTTGATGGTGATCTTTGTGATCGTATCTTTGACTGGACCAGTGTGCAGTGTGATCACGCTGGGAAAATTCATGTTACAAGCTGTAATGACAGACAGTGGTTGACTGTATAAAAAAATAATAATAAAAAGGAAGAAAAAAAATGTGTCCCCCCCAAAAAAACAGAAATGTTTCCATTGATGATTTTTTTTCTCTTCTAATTAAGGATCTGGGAAGAGCCAACAGACGGAAGCCCAAGGTAAGCATACTGTACCAGACCCCACCACACCCTCCATGCAGTTTTCAGTGTCTAGTCATGTTGGAGACTAGCAGAAAGCGTGGATGATACTTAGGGCTTAGTTTTCTTTTCTTTTCTCTTCTGATTTGTACCACTTTTTTTTTCTAATCTCCTTTAGCCTCCAGCACCTGAGGATCTTGCAGTAATCTGTTTCACAAGTGGAACTACAGGTCAGTTTTTAAATGGAATTGCTTCTAAGTATTATCTGAAAGTCTGCATTCCCCACTTTTTTATTTTTATGATATATTAACTAGCTGTCCATGAATGAAAAGCAGAAGAGATGGAAGTAGCTCTTAGCTCTGCTAGATACTCTCAGAACCTGAGTGCCATACATTGTCTCCGACATTTATTTAAGGTGACTTTAGATTCACTCTTCTCCCTAGCAGAATAACTGTATCAGTGGCTCCCAGGAACGGAACTCTTGGCTTTGCTTTTCTTATTGCTACGTACACCCTCAAAAACGTGTGCATTCTGCTAGAGATGATTTAAGATACTAAGTTTTATCGAAAGAATTGCGGGTTGCTCAGGAATTCAATGTCACCCAACATTTGGCTTCCATGGGTGTATCGGACCGTCGAGGCGTCTGAGGCCCTCATTCCACAGGGTGTCTGGGCTTCCTCAGGTTCTCTCTCGCCGTGATGCCTTCCTATATTCTAACGCTGTTCTGCTTCACGTGTGCTCTGCAGGCAACCCCAAAGGAGCAATGATCACTCACCGAAATATAGTGAGCGATTGTTCAGCTTTTGTGAAAGCGACAGAGGTAACTTTGGGGGATATTTTCATCTTTCTTCACATTCATTGGTTGGCATTAGGCCTTAAGAATGAAAGTGGCGAAGGTGGCACCACCATGGCGGGCGGTATTCAGAACAGGTCTTTAGAACACTATCTGCAGAACAGTGTAGATCTCAGTGTTAACATGATCCAAAGCTGCCTCCTCTCAGCGGTTTTTGTCGTAGACCTGATCTCCAACTCTTGCTGTGACCAACTAAGGTAAATCGGCAGTTGGGATTTACCACAACTTTCCTATAGTGAAATTTTATTTGCATATTGCCCTATAAATATTTTCCAAGAAAGAGCAAAGAAGGGATGACTTTCTTATACTGTCATCTAGTAGTCCAGTATTGGGAAAATAATTTCTCTCAAGTTGACAAAGAAATGTTAAAGACTACTAAAGGTTTTTGAGTTATTATTACATATTGTGTTCAATTTGGCTTTCAGTATAAGAGAAGAGGAGAATGAAAGCCTCAAACTTTAATTTCCTATGTAATCTTACAGTTCACTATCCAAATGTCTGAGTCTGCCCAGGCTGCCATAACAGAATACCCCAGACTGGGTGGCTTAAGCAACAGACACTTATTTTCTCACAGTTCTGGAGGCTAGAAGTCCAAGATCAACCACCAGCAAATTCATTGTCTGGTGAGGGCTCTCTTGTTGGCTTGCAAATGTGTGTCCTCACATGGGCTTTCCTCTGTGCACACATGGAAAGAGAGACCTCTGGTGTCTCTACTTCAGCCCTATCAGATCCAGAGTTACCTCCAAATACAGTCACACTGGGGCCCATCTCTGAATACACTGGGGGTTAGGACTGTAACTTGAATTTGGTGATGTGGGGAGACATAGTTTAGCCTATAGCACCAAGAGTATGTTTCAAACTTACCTTTTAAAAAGATATTTATTGAGCAATGTATTTCTCTTACACTCTTATTCACATTGAACATAATTTGTTTTTGTTATCTCTTGGGGGAGTATTCTGTATCTCCCGTTTTTGTGGCAGGAGCCTGTGCTTCATGGTTTGGGGGAATGGACATCTTGAGTGTCTTATAGAAAGCGGATCTTTGAGGGATCTTGCCCTTTATTTTACTTTGTTCCGCTTCTTAGTCCTTAATACCTCTTTCAATATATACTTCTAAACAGAGTTAAACATTTAATACCCTACCAAAGTGCAATTTTAAATTCTTGTTTGGCCTTCAAAGCACACTTCAAATGCATTGGTGGCTCCACTGAGGCAAATGATTGCAAACTTTATTTAAAATCATAATTGTAATATCAAGGGGCATTCTCAACTTGGCAAAAACTTCTAGTCACAATAATAGACATTGTTGGCACTAAATCAGAAAATGAAGAGTATAGCTATTACTGAGTCTGATTTCTCATTCTGTAACAATTTCCTACTGAGAAGTACTGAGACTCTCACAGGGCACACTCGAATGAAACTAAGCTAAGATTATAGCAGGCCCAGTCTACACCCGGGGCTTCGAGGGCTGCTACATCTGCTCGGGACATGTGCTGTCATCTGTTGTCACATTATTATTAAAAGTCTTGGGCAGGAGAAGGGCATGGCTCAGAAGTGTGTCACCCTTGTAACTTGACAGAACCCTCGTTTCTCAGTTGGTGTGGCAGCAGCTGTTGCTGGCACTCCCGTTTTGGCCAGAACTCTTCCTGAGCATTTCCATACCAACCCTGACCTTGCCTGCCCCTGAGTCAGGCCACTCAGAAGGAAAGCAGATGTCCACATTCATCTGCCGTGGACCCACCGCAATCCACATTTGTAGATGAGCAAATCTGGTGTGGAGCTGCAGTTGCATTAAACAAATTGGGATCATGTTTTTTTGTGGGATAAAATAGGGCTTTAAGGTAAAAAATGTTGACCAAGCTCTAATTTTCTAGGTACACTTCCACTATAAATAAAAGGGCCTTGGAAATCCATCGTTTCTTACCTTCTCTCTCCCTTTCCTTTGGCAAAGTAATGTGCTGTCTTATGTTAGAATGGGCCTTATGTTTCTTACCTTAAGGTGAATTTGAGCTTGCTGGGTGGCGTGGTACTATAGCTCTGAAATACTAAATGATTAGAGCACATAACCCTTCAACCTCCCACTTTGGGAATATTTTCCTTTTTTTCTTTCTTTTTTCTTTTTTCTTTTTTTTTTTTTTTTAAGAGGCTTTTGCCTTAGAGCATGTGCGTGTACCACAGAGAAACAGAGACAGAGGGAAAGTGAGAAATCACACCCTGAGGGGATGGCCATACCACAGTCCCTTCTCCCTCATTCTCCTGGGATCTTGGGCACGCACGTGTGCACAGGCACTGGCATGAGTTTCAAGCCACCAGGTCCAGGACTTGAACTGCTATCAGCCCTGCGGAAGTCCAGCATTGTAACCGCGATGCCATCCGCTGGCCTGTTTTTCTTGTTTTGATTAAAGTCCGAAAGTGGATTTACTTTGTCATTGAGAGTGGCCTCTACCCATCTGGATAGTTAAAGTCTTGTTCTCATTTTATTTTTTGGTGAGAAAAAGGTGCGCACAGCTTTTTCTCGTCCGCGTTGAGGGGCTATGTGCTCTACGGTAAACTGGGAAAATGACTGGATGTCTGAACGCTTTCTTGCCTTGCTGCTGTCTTTGCCTACAGAACACAGTCAATCCTTCCCCAGACGATATCTTGATCTCTTTCTTGCCTCTCGCCCACATGTTTGAGAGAGTCGTAGAGGTAGGCACTGACCTTTGTTCCTCGTTGTTTGTTTTGTGTGCTCTGCTAAGTCGTTGTGTTTTACAGAAAGCGATTGTCTTGAACCCCAGTGACACACACATTTCGTTTTTACCACTCGCACACATGTACGAACAGCTCCTCCAGGTAAGCTTCGTGTGCGGACTGGCCTCCCCACGGAGGGCTATCTATCCAGCCTGCTTTACAAATGGTGCGCGTTGTTTGGAAGAGTATACATTCTTTTCCTGGGTCTGAACTGGATTACTTAAACTTCAGCCATTTATTTTGCAATTGGGAGCCCCGAACTTGTGGAGTCATGTCCTTACTACTCTGGACATGATTCTAGAAAGGTTAACTTTGAAAATAATTTTTCTTAATAATTATGTTGTTTAACTTTATTTACTTTAATTTGACCAGAGAGGGACAGAGTGAGAGAGAGCAAGAGAGAGAGAAAGTGAGAAAGCAAGCTGCTAGGTCCAGGACTCGAACTGCAGTCAGCCATGTGGGAATCCAGCACCATTGACCACCACACCATCTGCCAGCCCCCAAAATAATTTTTTTATTAATTTAACCTTACAGAGGCCTGGGAGGCTTCTGTTCTGCAAGAAGTCTTTTATTTTTTTGGTGTTTTTTCATTTTTGTTTTTGTTTTTATGTTTTTGAGAGAGAGATTTTTACTATAGGGCATATGCGCTCGCCAGAGAGACAGAAATACAGAAAGACAGAAGGTGAGAAATCACCCCCAATTGGGGATGGCCACATGCAATCCCTTCTCCTCCATTCTCCTCTGGGGATTTTGGGCATGCATGCACATGCACCTGGCATGAGTTTTAAACCACCGAGTTCATGACTTGAACCACGGTCAGCTACATGGGAGTCCAGCAACGTAACCATTACACCATCTGCTAGTGTAAAGTCTCTAATTTTGATTGTGCACAAGTTGGCTTAACCTGAGTTCTATTGTTTTTGTTTTTTGTTTGTTGGTTTGTTTTTGCAAAAGGGAGCATGCATTCACCAGAGAGAGGGAGACGGAGGATTGAGGGGGCAGGGACGGACAGGGAGAAAGCATCCTTCATGGGAAATGGTCACACCTCAATCCCTTCTCCTCTATTTCTCCCTCCTCTCCGGATTTTGGGCACACATGCCTATGTGCCTGCCATGTTTTATAGCCACTGGGTCTGGGACTCCAGTCCTGTCTCAGTCATGTGATATCTGGCTCCTGTAACTACCAGGCCATGGGCTGGCCCAAGACCTTTTTTCCATCAGTATTCTAAATGACCAGGGAAAAGCAAGACGATCTTTAGCTGACCTTGGCCTAGACTCCCTGTACACAACTGTGCAGCTAATTGAAAAACTGACCAAGTGCCATCTTGCTTCCTTGCACAATTTTGGGTTTTATACTATAGGAAAAATGATGAGCACCATTCGTTCATTTAGTGAATATTTATTGAGTGCCAGCTATGTGCCGGGCGCTGTGCTCAATGTTGGACACAGAGAGAAGACTGGTAGAGAGCCAGTCCTTGGGGTAATTGCTGCCCTGTAAGATTCACTTACCCCGCAAGGGTAAAGGATCATTAGCTTTCATGTTCCCTCCCTCACTTCCACTTCCAGCATGCCTGGGGGTCTCTTGGGTTTGTAAAGCAACCCCAAATGCCTTGGCTGATGGGCCATGTGTACATAACTGCAGTTCTGCGAAGTACTCAGGAGGCAGGCCACACCAAATAGGAGCCTCCATAACTTCGATTTTTAAACCACAGACCATGGCGTGCCTTTTCATGGTTTCTGCTTTCAAGCCAAAGACCGTCTGTGCTTCTATTGCCTTATCCTTTGAGGCTTCTTTTCTTTTTTTAAGTTTAAAATAGGTGGGCTGTTTGTCAAGTCCATGTCGCTCCCTGGTGCAGTTTGCACTAAACGGGGAAAAAAAAAATCATGCGATATCTTACAGCTGATTGACAGGCCACTTTGGTAATGAATATCCTGGTGTCTCTACATCGGCATAGTCAGTGGTATGTCACAAACTTTGAGTGACACTCAATTAAAGGAGAATGAGACTTTTACATGCTTGGACTGTAGGCAAGAAGTTACGCTTTTATTTTGAAAATAAATTAGAATAAAGTTTCTGGAAAGCTGAAAATATTTGGCACCTGTAATACCGTGTCACTCATTCAGTAGATATTTATCACAAAGTGGAAAGAGTAGGACTTCTGTGACCCTCACTGAAAACATACCCTGGTTTCATACCAACCTGTGTGTCTTCAGGAGAATCAAGAACTTGCATACCACATTTCCAGATGGTACAATGATTGGTGGATGCAAAAGCTTTTTTAAAAAGCTACTTATATTCAGGAACGTTAAGATTTCTGGAACCCGGCCTGACGCGCTTAGACGGAAGCCTGTGCGTTGCAGTGTGTGTCGCGTAGCCCCTGCCGTGGAGGTCACACACATCTGATTCTCTTTACCTCTGCAGTGTGTGATGCTGTGTCATGGAGCTAAAATAGGCTTTTTCCAAGGAGATATCAGGCTGCTTATGGATGACCTCAAGGTGCTTCAACCCACTATCTTCCCTGTGGTCCCAAGGCTG